TACATTTTTACTTTCTTGAATTATAACATTATTTTTCAAATATCTTTTAATTTGCATGGTTATATATACAAAGTTCAGTAAAAATTATTCACTGTCTATATGTCTTTTCTTTTCATTTTATTATTTGTTTCATTTCATAATTATTTCTGAGAATATGTTTCCATATAGAAAAGGGGATTGTTAAAAATATTCTCTGAGCATCAAATATGCCAGGTACGACCTAGTCATGGGCTATACACATTGTGATAATACAATAGTGGTTTCCATGAGAATTTTTAAAAATTAAATATTTATTGTTGAAAATATTACATATGCTTTCCTTTTCCCCTATTAACCACATCTAGCCTCCATAAGATTTTTTTAATGAGAAGTGTCCTAATCCTATAAAGACTTGGGAAATGTTGGTTGAAGTTTCATCCTTTTACTGCATATATTTAAATTATTTTTAGCATTGAGAACTTCCTACCATTAAATGTGAATGTTTGAGAAAAACAACAGGTGCAATAATAGCAGGAACAACCCTAACTAACATTGGCCTCTAAACCCCAGCCAAAAGCAAATGTGATCTTCATCTCTCTTCTTAAAATGTTCTGTTTTGACAAGACAGACTCACTGGGCTCAGGTTTGGATGTCCTGAGTGTCATAAGAGAGACATGCACAATTCAGGACAGCAGCAAAGAAATGTCAACATGGTTGTTAACTGGAAAATTAAAATGGTGCCATTGAGCTCAGTGCATCATTCCTGCACTACAAACACTAGTTTTTGTTTTGGAGACATGGGGAATAAAATACCTTCTTTGTATCGATACAAAGAGGAGTATCTTTTTTTAAATTTTATTTTTTTAATTTCTTTACAGTAAGGTATCACATATTTATCTTCATCCTCCCATTCCCATCCTAAACCCCTCCCCACATATGCCCCCACCCTCATATTGTTTATAACCACTAGTTAGGCTTCTATGCATGCGTACAAGTCCTTTGGTTGATCTCTTCCCCCTCCCCTTTACCATCCCAAACCTTCCTTCTGAGGTTTGACAGTCTGATCAATGCTTCCTTGTCTCTGGGTCTGTTTGTGTTAATCAATTTATGTTGTTCATTATTTCCCCTAGATGAGTGAGATCCTGTGATACAAGAAATACACTTATAAGAACCGAAAATGAGACAAGCAATAATGGTTATGCTGAGAGGCAAACGAATCAGTCTGTAGTCAGTTTTTTTCTGGACCAACAGATCTTTTGAGTCCCAATGTCAATGTCAAACAGTTCCTTATGTGTATATGTGTACATGTCAGCAATGATATTTCAGTTCTGGGTGGTGGACAAATGGTGGTGATGCAGGTCCAACCTTCTCTGGACCAAACCAGAGAAGGTCGGACCTGCATCACCACCATCCAGAACTGAATGCGATGAACAGCTCCTGACTGCTAGTATGGCAAGGCATTGTCAGTGTCTTCCATCTCTGGACTGTTTCTCTTCTGTCTTCATGACTTATCAGCAGGATGGGGATCATTGACTGCACATTGTCTAGAGAGTATTCTTGGCTGGAGAAGAGTATTCTTGATGACTTTTAGAGCGTTTGGCAAGCCTGCATTTATCTACTTATTCCTCCATTCAAAAAAAATTCTCATGCTAGACAATGTGCAGTCAATGATCCCCATATTGCTGATAAGAATTTGCAGGAACTGCAGAAGTGTTCCCATAATCCCATTGCAAGTTAGCCTTGTGATCAGCTTGCTCTCTTCTCCACCCTGTCCACTCCTCCCAAGCATATAGTCAGAGAACGTTGGAACTACAAGTAGTACAGTTGTACTACTAGCATTGGGTGACAGCTCAATGGCTAAATGCAATATAACAGAAAGTGAGTCTTACAAATAATCTTGTAGTGTCAGTCATACACTAAGGAAGGTGAAGTTGTATATGTTTTTTTGTGTGGGAGAGGGTGGTAAGTGATAATTTTCTTCTCTTTGCCATCCAATCCCTTTATTTTAATTTTAAAGAAATGTAATGCTAGGAAAACTGGGTGGCTCTCTCAATATCACACAAAGTTTTAGCATTCGAACAACCATGTTCAAATGAATATTCTAATTTTTACCTATCTCCATGACCTTTATAAGTATCTCAAAAGAATCAAGCTCTGTATTTTCTCATGGTTGATAAGCACAGTGTAAACTTCTCCCACCTAATGCTATTCCATTTATTCTGAAGCAGCTAGAGGTCTCCATGACACTGTTTCAGAAAACCATGAGCAAAGTGCCTATCAGTTTATGAATCTGCCATGAGATCCCTGCCCTCTCTGCTTTTGCCCTTCCATGACCTCCCATGCCCACTCACTGCTCTAATATCAAAGAGCTTCTCATTCAACATCATAAGGCCAACTCAAACATAACCTTTCCATAAGCCTTGTTCCAATAGCCCCAGCAGAAGTGAATCTCCTGAACACCCTCGCAAAGTTTGCACCTCTTTACCAGTGTTGTTTTGTTCTCCCATTGGTCAAGTGTTTTTATTTTCCACTGGAAGGCAAGCCCCATGCTGGCAGATACCATGTCTTATTTATTTCTAAGAGATCCCTCTGAGCCCTCTTTTCAGCCCATGTGAGCCTGAAGAAAAAAGAGTGGTAGGTCGTAAAATTATTTCAGAAAAGATACCCTGTTGTTAATTAATCTTGTCTCACAAATGGAATGGTAAGTTCCCAGAAGGAAGAAATTCTTTGTCACTCTGGCTGGGTGGTTCAGTTGGTTGGGGTGTCATCCCCTACACCAATAGCTTTTGGTTTCTATTCCTGGTCAGGGCACATTCCTAGGTTTCAGGTTTAATCCCTGGTCCAGGCACATACAGGAAGCAACCGATGGATCTCTCTCTCTCTCTCTCTCTCTCTCTCTCTCTCTCTCTCTCTCTCTCTCTCTCTCTCTCTGCCTCCTTCCCTCTTTCCCTCCCTCCCTCCCTTCTTCCCTCCCTTCCTCCCTCCCTCCCTCCCTCCTTCCCCTGTTCCTTCTCTCTAAAACCAATAATAATAATTTTAAAAATCCTCCAATGAGGATTAAAAAAAGAATTTTTTTTGGAAAAGAAGGCCTCTGTTTATAATGATCATGTTGTTTTTCACAATGCTGGCACAAAGTTATAGGCTCCATAACTATGATTGACTTATCCAAGTAAATGAAAAGGGAACTTAGGAGGCTGAGAGAACCTATTAACTTTAGGGGGAGCATTGGACTTCTGGAAACAAAGGTTTCACTTGGTCTTTCTGCCTCTGCCTCCTTGCTTTTTTGTCATAAGTCTAACCACATCCAGGTTGTACTTCCTTCTGGTAAATTATCTTACCCTTTCTATTCAATTTTTTGAAAACCTCATTCTCATAACTTCACTTTTAGTTTGCTTTCATTTTTATTCTGAATTTTTGGAAGCAACTGAATTGGGAAGCTTTATTGTGCATTTATTTGAGATCTCAGAGCAATTATAAATACAGGGTGTCCCCCCAAAATGTATACACACTTTAAATAATTATAAAGTCAATGTTTATTAGCATACAGTTCATTTTCAAAATTAAGTGAGTTATCAGCTGTTAAAGTGTGTTTACATATTTTTTTGGACACCCTAATTGTAAGTATTCAGGAGTTCTAAAAGTTCTTTACAAGTCTCTTGTCTCAATCTGATTCCTGAAAACTCAGTCAGGTAATACTTATTCTGAGCAAGGATTGATGATATGCAAGCAGAAATTATGGTGTATAAATATTTCTTTCTTTTCTGCATCCAGCATGGCTAGAGAGTGAACAGGAGTCCTGAGTAGGGGCGACAAGAGATTGAGAAATGAAAGAAACAGACACAAAGACAGTAGAGAAAGCTGGGTCTGGATGGGACAGCTGTCCTCTGATGGAGAGACAGGGACCTAGAGACAATACAGTGCATTTATTTTATACAGTAAGATACCTGGACTTTTTCTGAAATTTAAGATAAAGAAAATATGTGCATTCTTGTGGCTTCTTTGTAATCATTACTTCTGGGTGGGCCCAGATAATTATGTTTGTTCCTGATTCTTGGTTGGATTTAGATAATGAAATCCACCCCCAGGTGCCTGAACTAAAGGTCAGACTGACAACACACTTGCCTCTGGCAAGGCATGTTTCCAGGGCATGGCTATGCCAGGCACCACTGGACAATCAGCTCAGGGGCCTTTCCCAGGCACTCTCTACAATGTTGACAGGATTATCAGGAGTTAGGAAATAGCTTAAAAAGAGCATATTTTTATACCATGCTGCCAAGGGCATGGAAAAATTATGCTAGGTAGAGCAGTATGGGGAATGTGAGGCCATAATACCATACATCAGCAATTTTCAACCTTTTCATCTCATGGTACACATCAACTACTAAAATTCTGTGGCACATCTAAAATATATTTTTTGCTGATTTGACAAAAAATATGTATACTGTAATTTTGATTCATTCACAACAGATGGCTATTGTTGTATTGGCTGTCGTCATTTTTTTAGACAACCTAAGGGAAAAGAAGTCAATGCTTCTGACTAAATAGTCAGATATTACATGTGTTAAAAATTCTTGTGGCACATCAGTGTACCTGCTGCAGCACACTAGTTGAAAATTGTGAATGTATATTGTTTTTGTTGTAAGAAGTAAATGAGTTAAAATACTTATGCATTTTAAATAGCCCCTGGAATATAATAAGTATTGACCAAAAAATGCTGTTATTATTTGCTTCCTATTAAAGAAGGTATGTAATAATAAAAATAAGTAACAATAAAAGAAAAATATTTTTAGAATAAAAATATTGGGGAAATTTAGGGAAATTATTGAATAATTGAGGAAATTATTTACTTGTGCTTTTTTTTAAAGAAACATTTATTATGTGCTTACCATGTGCCAGACACTCTGCTTGTGAGGGTTAATTACTGGAAAATGTTATCTCAAATGGTGCTTGAGAAATCTTTGGCAGAAACTGTTGAAGTGGCAAAGGACAGATTTGATTTTAATTTTGCTTTCATCTTTCAGGAGAAAAACCATGTACACCACAACTTCGTGTTAAGAGAGCCTCCATGCAGAAAGTTCGTGCAGGGAATCCATTTCAACTGGAATGTCCTGTGGTATACTGCACTAAGAGTCCTAATGTGACCTGGTGCAAGTTGAAAGAAAACCAGTGTTTGCCTCTGGGAGCTAGTCATCGGGCACACATGAAGAGGAAAAACAGACAGAATATTCTCATTTTTATTCTACATTTTGATCAAGCCGTGGCTAGTGACAATGGATCATACCGCTGTTCTTTGAATGCTTCATCTGGACTCATTGAAAGTCACTCAATAGCTATTAATGTGATAGGTGAGTTCTAGACAACGAGACTATCTAATATTTTTCCCATTATAATTCAAGGAAAAGAAGAACCCAGATTCTGAAGTAACTATGTTAGACACTGAACTTATATAAAACATTGGAATGGTGCTACGCCTCATAGACTGTAACATGTAGGCACACCCGTGTGTGTAGGTATATGTGTGTTTTGGGGTGAGTGAATTATAGAAGAGTAGAAAAATAAAATAAAATTTATTGTTTTTCCTTCAGGAAAAATAAAATTTATTTGGTAAGTCCAAAAGTAGATCTCTAAAATGTGGGGGAAATTTCAAAGTGAATACCAATAATAGTAGACAGTTTTCTATTCTCTATCCTTGTTTACTTTTTCTTTTATTTCTTTCTTCCATATTTCTGTCTTTGGCTTTTACTGATAATAATTCCTTGAAGATATGTTTGTAGTGGTCAGAAAATTATACATTTATTAATAAATCCTTGAATTTATGTTAATAGTTCATGTTTTCACAGGGGACAAAAAGCACACAAGTAACCTGACTCCCTGATAAGTTTTAAGAATAGTTATAGAGTTAGCTGTCTCCACAGAGTCTCTCCTGAGGATCTGAATAGGCTCAAACTACAGAGGAGAGACAGGTTGACATTAAATTGGGCAAAACTAAACTGAATGAAACATGGAAAATAAAAAAGAGGATTGGGAAACAGTAAAAAAACATTTGATTTATAAGACTCTCACAACTAATATCATATTTACTGGTGAATGATAAGCTTTTCCCCTACGAAGAAGATAAGACAAGGATGTATGTTTCTATTCAACACTGAACTGGAATTTCTAGCCATAGCAACTAGGCTAGAAAAAAACACACCACCATCCAAATTGCAAAGGAAGAAGTAAAAATATCTTTTCACAGATGACATGATATTATATAGAGAAAATCCTTTAAAATCCTCAAAAACTACTCGAGCTAATAAATGAATTCAACAAAGTTGTATTCTCAACAGAAAAATAATAGTATTTTTATCCTCCAGCAATGAACTAGCAATCTGAAAAAGAAATTAAGAAAAAATTCAAGTTAGAATAGTATAAAAAAGAATAAAACATCTAGGAATAAATTTACCCTAGAAGGTACAAGACTTATGCACTGAATAAAACATACTGGTAGCTAAAAGAAATTGAAGAAATTATAAATAAATACAAAGACATCCTGTGTTATGGATTGGAAGATTTAATATTTTTAAGATCACAATAGTCCCCAGAGTGATTTACAGATTCAATGCAATTCCCACCAAAATTCCAACAACCTTTTTTAAAAATATATATTTTATTGATTTTTTACAGAGAGGAAGAGAGAGGGATAGAGAGTTAGAAACATCGATGAGAAAAAATCATCAATCAGCTGCATCTTGCACACCCCCTGCAGGGGATATGCCCACAACAAGGTACATGCTTTTGACCAGAATCAAACCCAGGACCCTTCAGTCTACAGGCTGATGCTCTATCCACTAAGCCAAACTGGTTTTGGCCCAAGAACCTTTTATTTGCAGAAATAGAAAAATTGATTTTAAAAGTTATACAGAATTCCAATGAGCCCAGAATAGCCAAAACAATCTTGAAAAAGAACCATGTTGGAGGACTCAACATAATCTTGAATTTGTCAATGATTTCTGAAATATGATATCAATAGCATAAGCAACAAAAGAAAAAAATATGTAACTTGTATTTCTAACTTGTATTTCATCAAATTAAAAAAACTTTTTACATGAAAAGACAGTCTCAAGTGAGTGAAAAGAGAGCATATAGAATGTGAGACTGTATTTGCAAATCACATATTTGATAAGGCACTTGTGCCCAGAATAGATAAAGAATACTTACAACTTCACAAATAGAAAAACAATCAATAAAAATAAAATGGACAGCCCTTGCCAGTTTTCCTCAGTGGATAGAATATTGGTCTGTGGATTGACAGTGCCCAGGTTTGATTCTGGTCAAGGACACATGCCTGGGTTGGGGGGCTCCATCCCCAGTAGGGGGTGTGCTGGAGGCAACCAATCAATGATTCTCTCACATCATTCTCTCCCTCTTCCTTCCACTGTGAAATCAATAAAAATATATTTATAAATAAATAAATAAGTAAATAAAATAGGCAAATCATTTGAATATATATTTCTTCAAGGAAGATATGTAAATGGCTAATAAACACATGGAAAAATTCTCAGTGTCAGTCATCAACAGAGATATGCAAATCAATATTTGATAATACCATTCACAACTACTGGAATGACTAGTTTTTTTTAAAGAAAAATAAATGGTGTCAAGGATGTGGACAAATCAAACCCTTATACATTGCCAGTGGGAATATAAAATGGTGCAGCTGCTTTGGAAAACAGTCTGTCAAATCTTCACAGTGTTAAACATAGTTGTCACAGACCCAACAATTCCAATGTTTCATAAGTACCCAAGTCAAACAGAAATACATGTCCACACATAAACTTGTACATGAATGTTTATAGTAGCGCTATTCACAACAGCCAAAAAAATATTGAAACAGCCCAAATGTCTATCAACTGATAACTGAATAAAGGAAATGTGATAAATCATATAATTTAGAATATTATTCAGCCATAAAAAATGATAACATACTAATACATTCTACAACACAGATGAACCTCAAAAACATTGTTAGGTAACAGAAACCAGATACACAAGATCACAAACTGTATGATTCTGTTTATATGAACCACCCAGAATAGGTAAATCCATAAACTAAAAAGTGATGAATGATGTGCCAGGGACTGGGAGAAAGGGAGAATAGGGAATGATAATTTAATGAATATGAGGTTTCTTTTTGGGTGATGCAAATGCTCTAAAATTTGATAGTGGTGAAGACTGCAGTCAATAAACATTGTGAATATTTTAATAACACTGGGTTATATACTTTAAATGATTAAAATAGTAATTTTTACATTACCACATAAAATATATTTGGATCAAAGAAGATCTCTCTTTATTATAAGAAATGAGATGGAGTTTCTTTTGTAGCCATAAATTGACCTTGAAGATTATTGCAAAAGATAAAAATTTAAAAGATGTGGTATAATAGTAGCATGTCTGAAATCTACATGCAGTCTCATACAGTTACTTCAAATGATGTCATTCACTTAACTCCTTCCATTGTGTGTGTGTTTAATTTATTTCTTTATACACACATTTTTTGAGTGTATAATTCCCTTAAAGTGGTCCAATGAAGGAATCCACTTAAATTTCAATTAAAATTTCTTAATCACTTTAAAAAATTTTTAAAGCAGGCCAATGAGGAAATGTACAATATTTTGGTGCTAGCTACAACTCTGATACTCTACTTTTGCAAATTTGGGGTCAAACTCAGTGCTAGTTGCCTGAAACGATCTCTGCACTGATCTCAAACATCTTCGGTTCTCTAAAATAGATGGCATGCATAGTGTCTGGCACATAGTGGATGGCTCAAATGAATTAAAAATGAAATAATCTATGGTAAGTGAAAAAAAAAACACGCTTTAACAATCTGGAGTAGCCCATATTGAGGATGTATGGAATTAATGCTTTCTGGAGAGAATTGTACTATTAATTCACATAATAATGTAAATTACTAAAATTTTAAAGAAGTAGCATTTTTTTTTAACTAACAGAATAAATGCTAAAAATAAGCAAAATTTGCCATAGCTTGTTTGGCTCAGTGACTAGAGCGTTGACCCTTGGACTGAGGGTCCTAGGTTTGATTCCAGGCAAGGGCATGTACCTTGGTTGCAGCCTAGATCCCAGCTCCAGTCAGGGCACTTGCAGGAGGCAACCAATTGATGTGTCTCTCTCACACTGATATTCCTTTCTTTGTCTCTTTCTTTCTCTTCTTCTCTCTCTCTCTCTCTCTCTCTCTCTCTCTCTCTCTCTCTCTGTCTCAAAAACAAAATAAAACAAATAAAAAAACAAAACATTCCCTAGCCAGTGTACTTAGTGGTTCGAGCATCAGTCTAGAGTCACAGGTTCAATTCTGGTCAAAGGCAGCCAATTGATGTTTCTCTCTCTCTCTCTCTCTCTTTCCCCTCCACACTCTCTAAAATGTTAATGGGAAAAAACAGCCTTAGGTGAGGATTAACAACAACAACAACAACAACAACAAAAAGAAAAACTTGCAAATAAGTTATTTCCTGGATGATATTAATTATACTGTTAAATATAAAATAAGCACTTCTAGGTAATTTATATAATGTATTTTAATGTAATATATAACAAAATTAAATATAGTGACATCAAGTCCACCTCCTTTGGAACAGAGCCTTTTTGTGCAATTTAGTCTTTCCTTGTGAAACCAATCCACTTCTGTATAAGAGAGAGGAATTTAGCCAAATGTCTCATATTTGGGTCTTTCCTTGACCACTCCAGATGGTTGTGCAGTTGGTAACATGCCTCTTCTAGGGAATCCAGTCTAAGCTAAAATTAGGGTTAATAATCTGCCTCTCTAATAATCTGTCTCTCCTGTAGAGGAGGGAACTTAACTTCAGAGGAAAAGGGAGGCAGCAGCACCTCTTATACCCTGTGCCCTGAGGGGATGTGCTTATTATTATGATCAGATTGGGACAAAGAATATGAAGGATGAAGTGGTTTAAGAGCTAAGTAGGAGACATTAAAGGCCTTTTACATTTCTCTTTGAAGACTTCTATTCTCCTAATTTCCTATTCTCCTTCCTTTCTTTTCATTTCCTTTATTTTTAAAAAACGATTTTTACTGACTTTTTAAAGCGATAAGAAGGGAGAGGGATAGAGAGATGGAAGCATTGATGAGAGAGAAACATTCTCAGTTGGCTGCCTCCTGTATGCCCTGTACTGGAGATGGAGTCTACAACCCGGGTATGTTCCCTGACCCAAATCAAACCAGTGACCTCTAGGTTCCTGGATCAATGCTAAACCACTGGGCCAGTCTCACTTGTTTTATTATCACTCTGTTAATTAATACTCCTGACCCCCATTGGGAATTCCCCTGGACTTTTCCTTGGCCTTCTATTTTTGTCTATCAACAACCTTCCACTCTCCCATGTGTAGCCTCCTACAGCTTTTGTGATCATCTCAGATTTTCATTATCTTCATCCTAAATGATTTCAATTTATTGTATAACCTCCTCGTCATAAGTGTCAATTTTTGTCCATTTCAGCCTAAAATCTTTCCGATACACTTAATTTAAAAAAAATAAACTTTGTTCATAATCCCAATCTTTTATTGTGCCTCCTGCAGAGCATCCCCAGCATTATAACACTGGGCTTAAGGCTGTTAACCAGCATTCAAAGCCTTCCACAGTCCATCCCTACCTATCTTTCTGGGTTGTTTCTGGATTCCATAAAGAAACTCTCAACTCCAGCCTAACAGCCCTACTTGCCATTGCCATATCGTCACCACGGTCCTTCCAATGTCGCTGTCACCACTTGTGACCCCCTCCATCTATCAAATTCCCCTCTCCTGTCAAGACCAGCTTATTTCCCAAGTTCTTAATGAAAACTTTCATGTTCATCCTTGAGGGAGTAATTTTTTTTTTCTAGTCACTTTTATGCTATTGAAGCTCTGTGCCTCTCAATTATGACACATCCCCTGCTACTAAAATAATGGGTGGATATATCTTTTATCCCATCAAGGATTATACTGTCCTGGGAAGCAGGAACTGTGTCATAATTCTTTGGGTCATCTCTGCTACCTCGAAAAGTCAAATAAATTACTCAATAATTGGTTTTTAACTGAGTGGAATTTTCCTTTCATGAATTTATAAAAGCAAACAACAGGAAAGGGTCAAGTAAAAATTGCTTTTCTTCTATACCTGGAAGTATTCAGTGAACTGAATACAAGATGAGGATAAAACTATACTTTCAAATTATATTTAAGAATCATGCTTTTTATAAATACATTTTGGATGTATTATGAAAAAAACCACTTCCTTTTCTTTCTTTGAAATATCTTTCTTGGGGCATAGTGGGAATTTTTCTATTTTTGTATCTTATTCCTGTTTACTTTTTAAAAATTTGTTTAAGTTATCGGGATGACAGTGGTTAATAAAGTTATGTAGGCAAATGACACTGCAATAATCAGAGGGGTGCATATATTCTTTTGAATTAGTGTTTTGTGTTTCTTTGGATATATTTCCAGAAGTGGAAGCTGGGTCATAATTTTTTGAGGTAACTCCATACTGCTTTCCACAGTGGCTGCACCAATTTGCATTCCCCACCAAGAGTGCACAAGGGTTCCCTTTTTTTCCACAACCTAGCCAACATTATTGCTTGTTGATTTATTGATTCTCAGATATGTCCAAGTTAAGAATTGGCCTATGTGATAACCGGGATGAAGGAAAGCAGGGGCTTGGACACTGTTGGGAACTCTCCTTCCAGAATGAACCAGTGCAAAGTCCCAGAGGAAAAGTTAACAGAGCTGGTGAACAGTCACAGGAACATACAATGGCCTGCAACTCCATCCTTCCCAATCTGCCCTGGCTCAGCTCCTGATTAGGAAGTTTGCAAAGACAAGTGATCATTATGTTAGCAGGAAAGTGCGGGTAATATGAGTAGGCAGCATGTGAGAGGAGCTATCTTTTTTTATTATTATTAAATCATTATCTGTGTATATATTTTAACATTGCGCCTCCCCCCCTTCCATACATACCCTCTTTGTTTGAGAATGAGTGCTCAACGTGTCATCAAAAGCATTCTTTCCTTGTTGGCTTTCCACACTCACTTGGAACACCTGTTGAGCGTGTGTATGGTGTTGTCACTCTATGTATCAGAAGTTGTCATACAGGCTGTATTGTTCCTTATCCTTAAGAAATGAGGAAAAGGGAAGTAGGATAGACAGATGAAGGTTGTGACATATTTACTCAGTCTTTCTTGGAGTCTCAAAATCCACCCAGTAATTTCCTTTGTGCCTATGATCTCAGAGTTACTCACAAGTTATACAAACTGTCCTTTTCCGGATTATTGGAGTTTCTGTTAGTGTGCAAATGCAGAAGTCATCTTAGATACTGGCCCTGATTTTAGTCATACCTGATATGCACCTGCATTCTTTTCATAATCATACTCAAAACTTACCTTGTTTTTCTCTTTCAGAATGGACTCAAAATAATTCAGAACATCCTCTAATAAGTAAGTATCAACCTAGTTAAATAAAATGAAGGGGACTAGACTGTTAGATGGCTGCAGAAATAATAAAATTGGATCTTCTTAATTGAATGGATTTGTTTGTATTAGGTTATCTGTTGTGGGAACCTTCGTTTCTATTCCTATTCACACCCTCCTCCCAGACAGCTGTGTCTGCAGCTGCAGCATGAATAATACAACATTTGTTACCACTCTGAATGTTCAAACCACTTTTTCCCAGTTCAGTAGCTCCTATACCACCCACCCCCCAAACAAGCATAGGGGAAAGCTAAAATGTAACTATATTAATACACTTACGAATAAAGTTTTTCTGCATAAAAATGAACACAAGTACAAAATTAAAGATGTATGATGTATTTTGATATTTTTATTCTGTAATGTTTAATTTTAAAATTTGTTTGTGATCAATTAAATTATTTCATGAGCCAAAAATAAGCTGCACGCCATCAAGGACAAATATGGACTTAATGCATGTTAACATTGATCAAAAGTATTGAGCACCATCTATATGCCCACTAAACCATAATTGAAGATGTCAAAAGTATTTGGTATTTGGAGATAATAAAGAGTTATGAGACAATGAAAAGGCGTTTTGTTAAAGGAACCTGAATTAAGTATCAGAAAGATGTTGACTTGAGTCCCAAGTGTGCTCAGTATCTGTCTGACCTTGGGCAATCTTGGAACAATAATACTCTTTCTCAATGCATGGGGCTAGATAAAAATAATGGCTTTATTACTTTTCTTACATTATAAATATGAGTTAAGACCATTTAAAGGAAATGGCTTGGTTAAGTGTTTTCTGAGAGCTATATGGTTGTTGTTTCACAGGGTATTAACCTGAGCAGAATGAAGAATAATTGTTACAAAAAATAAATTGTAACCCAGAACCACCAACATAGGTTCAGCAATAAAGCAAGAAGTCAGAGAGTACTAATGCTTGGGATTCTTGGGGAAGGTTTGCTGGAAGGGAAATGCAGGCATCTTCTTTCTTCAAGTTCTAACAATGCAGAGGATGTTGCCGATCCTAATATATTTCAGATTTCTAACTGCCTTTAGCATTGACTGACATTTCAGATACAACCAGTGCTACAGGACCACCGTTCAAGAATGAGATAGAGGGCAGACCATGGATCCTTTATTGCTTGCTTCCTTTGGGAGGATTGCTTCTACTCATTACCTGTTTCTACCTATTCTGCTGCCTGAAAAGGCACCGAGGTGGGTTCCATCTTCCCTCTACTGCTCTGTGCCACACATTTCGGGTTCAGCTACTAGGACTGATATACTTGTAGTTGGTTTCTGTTGTTTTCTTTGCCAACATTTTGCAATAAACCATGGGTAATGCTTTCCTGGGGGACAGATCATCCTCCCACCAAAGCCTAATGGATTAATTTATGTTCACTCTAGCAATGGTGAGGCATGCTCACCATAGCACAGCCAAGCCTTGTGGTAAGGAGGGAACTTTACTCATTCTACTTGAGTCAATCCTCGGTCTGTGTGGGAAGCTCTTAAATTTTCAGGGTGTTGAAAGGGAGATTGAGATAATCTCTCCACATGTCTGATTTGAATTAGTTTGTCTCAATCTCTTTTTCCCAGCCACACCACACCCTGCCAGTCACACATGCCCTTGTTTATAAGAAGGCCCTCTGTCCTCGGAGAAAATTCATCTGCATGCACTTTCTGTTGCCATTACAAACACATGCTTGAACTGAGCCCTCCCTCAACAACAATAATAAAAATGTGTATTTTGCATGATGGGGGAAGTGTGATATATTTTGAACCATGCCTTTCTGCTTTTGTGAGAATTCCCTCAGTGTCATGAGGGAACACTTAACCACATAAGAGACAAATGTATAGAGAATTCTGATGTAGCTCTGGTCTGAACCAACTCCGTTCCTGCTCTCTCCTTTGTTCCTCTCTGCCATCTGCTCCCATTCCTTTTCCCACAATAGCGGCCACAGAGTAGCTATAGAAACTAAGTCAGACAAAGAAACCCTTATTTCTGCCATAAGAGAAATCTTTGTCTGGGCAGAAGTGTTCCTGGTATTTTCCCCTGAGGACTTCTGGATCCCAGAACCTCCTCAGAATCCCGAGAGAGTCTTCTGTAATCTCAATTCCACACCCACAAATCCCAGTGTCTTTCCACGGTCCCTCTCTAAGCTTTCTGAGACTATTGGGACCTCTCTCAGATCTTCAGAAAGAGTCAGGGGTAAATCCTTTGATTTCCCACATCCAACCTGAACTTGGCTATAGGAAATCCTGGCTATGCAGGTGACCGGACAACTGTGTGTCTGGCACTGAGTACAGATTGTCCCCAAACTAGGATTTCCAGCCTTTAAAAAGTGATGTCCTAGATGCTATCTCTGCCTCAATAAATATGTTGGAGGGCTCTCGGGAGTGAGAAGTGAAGAAAATGGAGGAGAATGAATTCACAAAATCGAGTCGTATGCGCCATGCTAGTCACAGCAAATCAACAAGCCAAACTAACAATAATGCTCTCACTGGTATGCATGTGGGTGGGAATGGGTGAAGGGCATTCCACCTCAGCTCCAGGGATTGAATTTCAAGTTAGCGGTCGGATTCCAGAACCCACATTCTTACCACAACTTCAATTTACAGGGATTTGGGGAAGAATTTTGTGTTGTCCTTTATTCCTTTTAGTTTCTTATTTTTCTTCTTGAATTCCAGGGGAACAAAAGGAGCCTTCTGATACAACAGGAAGGGGAATTAACCTGGTATGTTCACTCTATCTGTTAAAACAAATGCAATCTATGTTACTTCATGTTATTATTTATACTTTTTTATTTGAGTCTCTATAACACTTACCATGTGCCAGGCATGTCCTAAGGGCTATATACATATTGGTTTACTTAAAGCATTTGTTTATTTTAAATCCACCTCTGTTTGCAGCAGAAATTCTTCAGAATTCACCAGCCTCAGACTAAGTAATTATGTATTTATTTATTTATTTATTTATTTTTGAACAGCATGGGTGGCAGTACAGGCTCAAAACAGAAAAGACAGACACTGAACCATAGATTGTGGCTCTGTTCTTGGCCTGTTATGTGACTTCACGCTATTCATTCATTCTCACAAATACCTTAAAGTCTTTCTGGAAGAGAGTTGAGAGTTAATGAAAGAACGAGCCATAAATAACCTCATATAATAAATTTTAATTGTTTCATAAATCACACCAGCAGATAAAGAAGCATAAGAAGCATGGAAGAAGTTAGAGCTACTATGCAAAAGTCTCCGTGTGTGTGTGTGTGTGTGTGTGTGTGTGTGTGTGTGTGTGGGCTCATCAAGGAGGAGACCTCCCAGACAAAGCAAAGGATGTTTTGCAGGCAATGCCAAGTTTTCCAACAAGTCCTTGGAATATAAACTTGGACTTTCCTTTTGGTTTTAATATTGTATAAATATTGGAACTAAAAAAAGAATATAAGATAAGGTGATATATTTCTGAAAATTTTTTTTTATGAAACTCTTTGTTAAAAAGAAATACTGCCCTGGCTGGGTGGTTCAGTGTGTTACAGCATTGTCCTGGACACCAAAAGGTTATAGGTTGGATTCCTAATTGGTTCACATCCTAATAGATATTTTTCACATCAATCTCTCTCTCCCCTCACCTCCTATCACTCTAAAGTTAATAAACATATCCTTGTGTGACGATTTTTAAAAAGATAGTAAATATAAAAAATACTGCAGTCACGAATGAGATACTGCAAAGGAACTTGTGTGTATGTGTGTGTTAGTAAAGCAAAGATAAAGATCTAGTAAGCTGGAAAGTCCCAGAAATGTGAGCAGCAGATAGAGCCAATAATTATAATATTATGTTTTTTTTCGTTCAGGTGTTTGTTTTTTTTTGTGTGTGTGTGTGTGTATGTGTGTGTGTGTGTGTGTGTGTGTGTGTGTGTGTGTGTTTAATATACTTTATTGACTTTGTACAGAGAGGAAGGGAGAGAGATAGTTAGAAACATCTATGAGAGAGAGTCATCAATCAGCTGCCTCTTGCACACCCCCTACTGGGGATATGCCCACAACCAAGGTACATGCCCTTGACTGGAATCGAACTTGGGACCCTTCAGTCCGCAGGCCGACACTCTGTCCACTGAGCCAAACCGGTTTTGGCTTCATTGACTTTTTAGAGGGAGAGAGAAACATCAATATGAGAGTTATACCTTGATAAGTTGTCTCCCTAATGTGATCCAACTAGGGATCGAACCCACAAACTGGAAATCAAACCTTCCCCCTTTTGGTGTGTGGGACAATGCTCCAACCAAATGAGCCACACCAACCAGGGCTAGCCATAGAGCTTCCTGTGTAAGCTGGACAAATTGTTTATGATTTGAACTGGAATTCAAGAGGGGTTTTTCTGTTTGTACAATTATTTGTTTTGTTTTTTAAATTGAATTTATTGGGGTGACATTGCTTTATGAAATTATATAGGTTTCAGGGATACATTTCTATAATACATCTGTATATTGTATTGTCTATTCAGTACCCAAAGTCAAGATTCCCTCCATGGAAATTTTGTTTTAAGGTGTTTATATCTTTCACCGACATTTTGTTTTGCCCCCTTTGATTAGTCAAACATTTAAAAAAAATAATAGAAAAGGTGCCATATTACATCTCTGAGACTGACTACACATTTCTTAAAAAGGAACCTATACGGGAACCATGGAATAGAACCCAAAAGTAGAAAGAAACTGGTAAACACATGGCAGACACTTGTAAAAGCCAGCGTTCTCATCTTATTCCAGAATAGTCCTTTAAGGGTATAAAAGTGCTGGTACACTAAAAACCACTAAATTGTACACTTAGAAAAGTCAATTTTAAGGTACAAGAATTATGTCTCAACACATTTTTAAAAGTATGTTGTAAACTGGACGGTGCCATACAGATACAGAATAGGAGAGCTGCTTCATTGTTTGCCATCTCTGCCCCCCACAGCAGGGCGCACCCGCCTTGTGCACCCGCCCTTCGATGAGGTGCCCACAGGAAAAGTTCTTCCACAGAGCACCACGTTTCCTTTACCCCATTCGTTCTAACAGTTTTCCATGGAAACGAGACATCTTTTGGGAAGAAGCCAGGTAACAGTTGAGAGACACAGATTGAAAAATTCAACAGAGAACTTGATATATTGAATATTTATATCTATTAGGTCACATGGAGTCTTTTTAAAAATATATATTTTATTGATTTTTTTTTTACAGAGAGGAAGAGAAAGGGATAGAGAGCTAGAAACATCGATGAGAGAGAAACATCAACCAGCTGCCTCCTGCACAACCCCTACCAGGGATGTGCCTGCAACCATCGTATATGCTCTTGACCAGAATCGAAACTCGGACCTTTCAGTCTGCAGACCAACGCTCTATCGCTGAGCCAAACTGGTTTCGGTGGTCATATGGAGTCCTCTTCACCGCTCCTCTGTAAACTTTAGGCAGGCTCCTTTGCGGGAAGGCTGGAGTACTTTTCATCTGAGCTAAGAGACAGGGACACAGGGTCATTAAAAACCATTCCTAACTTTCAATCATCCAGCCTTCCTGTTATTTCCTGCGCAGACCCCTCATGGAGGGAGGCAGTGTATTCAACAGTTAACACCTAGTTTTTCAGAATAGGCCCAGACAGGCTTGTGTGGTAGAACTCTGCTGAGGAAAAGTGGATGGGCCACTGCACACATAGCAGTGAAAACAACAGAGGGACACATGAGGCATGTAGACTTTCAAAAACTGTGGACCTGATACCTTAAAGCAGCCAGGCCAAAGTTCAAGAACATGATTGACAAAATTGGGATATAAAAAAATTGAAATAAGAAGACATCTTCATTTTTACCAGCTGAGTCCCCTTGTATAACTAGAAATTACAAACAAATAATTGAAAAGAGTGAAAAGCATCGGGATCCACTTAATCTCTGTTTCCATAAGTTCACCTCTTTTCCAGAAGCTTTCTGAAAGATATCTGACTCTATTTTTGAAGTGTAAGAATTTTCTTGTGATATAAATAACAATTGAAATATTTTAAACTTTTTCTAAGCTTTGCTCCCCCCAAAATAAAACCCCATCAAGGTTCCAATTCCAGGTATTAAATCATAATACTGTATATTGAATAAATACTAATATTTATTTTTCTGCACCTTAGAGGGTATCTGTTCTGCTTTATCTTTAATGATTTTATTCTAAACCATATAAATACTATCCATTATGTTATAGGTTGCCTGAAGTTCCTCATAAATATTTGGTGCTTTTTTCATAAATTTGGGCTCTGCTTCTCATTTTGAAGAGGGATTTAAAAGTGTACTGTGGTCTCAAAAGTGACCAATAATATAGTACAAAGTAACTATTTGGGATGAACATAGTGGTCCTTAAGCTTTTATCCTTTAATAAGGAAGAATCTGTTAAAAAAAAAAAATGTCAACAGCATATGTGAGGAAAAGTCCACTATTTCTCCCCGGGTATAAGGACTCAATTTAGCCTGCTTTTATAGTTTGCTAATAAATATGCACCATCATATCTTAAAATTATAATTAAAGCAATTTTTTTCTCTTGTAGGTTGATGTTCCTCAGCCCTTTAAAAGTGAGCAAATTGAAGTGGGCACCAGACAACATCCCCAAACTCTGCCATCAGAACCTGATGTCTATGATAATGACCCCTGGGTCAGCAGCCAGGAAGAGTCTGGGGTTTATTCTAACCCAAGTCTGGAGGAAAACAAACAAGGCATTGTTTATGCTTCGCTGAACCACTCCATCATTGAAATGAACCCAAGGCAGGCAAGAAATGTGAAAGAAGCACCTACAGAATATGCAGCCATATGTGTGAGGAGATAATTCTCGTCCCACTCTCCCACCAGCCGCCATGGATGATCAGCATGTCCATACCGCCATCGATGATCAGCATGTCCTACAGAATGTCAAGTAATATTCCTTGACCTAAGAAGATTCACTTTCAGGGGAGTCATGTTGGAGCTTGGATTTTAATGGTCAGTAGGGCAAATGACTAATAGTTCTGCCAGAAAACTCTTTTGGAGCATTTTATTTTATTGCCATGAACAACATCTCCTCTCCAAAACTGAGTGATATGAATAGCAGAGCAGTAGAACATTTAAACTTAGCTACATTTTACCCAACATTTAAAGTCAATATTTACTTTGGAGCTATCAGAAACACAGGTAGGGAAGAGAGATATGTGTTATCTGCATCGGTTCACTACACACGCTTGAGAGAAAGAATGTCCAATTTAACTAACCATAAATATGGAAGTGATAGTATGTTTATTTCCAGTCAATCTTTAATAATAAGAAATTTTCCTCTATCAAGCTAATGTTGAGGTTTCTTATATGTCAAGGAGAAATCATTTTAGGCTTGATGATATAATAAAATAATGAAAAGAATAAATTGTGCAATAAAGATGTGGAATATACCAACTAGGTGGGGGTCGATGGTCCCCGCACCAGAGAAACAAATGCTTCTCTCCACCCTGTCAGGTTGCAAAGCAAATGTCTGTGGTGATGGAGCATTTAATGGATGGTGCATTTATAAACCACGTGGTGACTCACTGGGTTACAAAGTCTAGTATATATGAATAGACATTATGCTGCTGCTGAACTAATGTACTTGTTGGGTGTCTGAATAAACATAAATATCAGTGAGGATAGTTATCATCAGGCAGGTGAATATTGATGGCTTAAACTGCTTTAAGGTTGACCTGATGTCAAACTTAAAACACAATTAATGGAATGGAGAAAAGTCCAGAATATTTAGTTGGCCAGTATGGGTTAAGAAATTTTCAGTCACCACATCTGTATCTTGCTGTTCTTCTTAGTAAGGAATCAGAGCAGATCATACATAGTGAAGTAGTTCAGCTGGATAACCATTTGTTTTAAATATTGAGGTTGCAGCCGTTTAAAAGTATAGCAAGTATATATGACTTCAGTTTTCTGAATTTCCAGAGTACTTGAGTCTAATTATTTCAAAAATAGCCTGCAACTTCATTCAACAGTTTCAGGCTATCAGAGTTCTTGGGTGCTGCTATTAAATAATGCAACAGATCTCATGCATCTTGGACAGCAGAGGTTAGAATCCATTTAAACAAATACATGAGCTGCTGCACAAATGAATGTGAAGGGGTGTGTGTGTGTGTGTGTGTGTGTGTTAGTGTCTAGAAAGAAAGATGTGTGACTTAGAGAAATGGTAAAAGAGAAGCTGACAAAAGTGACATACCATTTCAGTTTGCTAAAGAAACCCAGAAAACTGGAGCAAATGAGTCATTATAGAAAATGTATGAAAATAATATCTAAAATTGTGGGGATAGGCGTATGACAGCCCATAAAAGTTTTTGTCCCAGAAAGACTAAACAGATTTTGTGGTGGAGCATTTCTTATGTAACTCTTGTTAAAATTTTAACCTTTAGATTGGGGTAGTGAGTATTGTTTTAGACTCATTGTTATCCATCCAGTATAATATTACTCCTAGAAATTCAAGCAACCAATTTTCTGTAGGTTTTTTTTTTTTTCAGCCAAGCTGCATTTACAGGAAACTTATGTACAAAAGATAAATTAGAATAGTGTTCGCGGTATTCTTAAAAATAGAAACAGGAAGAACAGGGAGGATACACTTAGATGTCCTTATCAGATAAACACACAAAGCTGAACAGTTTCTTCATAATGAGTTTAAAAATATATACATATATAAATATATATATTTCTGAATATTGTTAACAATATTCTTAACATGTCTTATAGTAATGTTGATAATGATTTCACCTCTGTTAATGATTTATACTTATATTTGTATGATGCTGCCAAAATCACAAATCATTTATGTTTTTATTCCTTCTTAATAAAAGATGTCAGAGTTATATATGTACTTTGTAAATAAATAAATTTATTTCAGTATTACTACATGGCTTGTTTCATTAATGAAATATGAGAAAAAGAATATATAGATAATTTAATGATTTTCCATGATTTTAAGATTGTTGACTATTCCCAATAAGAAGGTAAAGTTATTAAAACTTATTTGGAATAAATATAATGTTGATTTTTGTACCAAAAAGTGCATGGACATGAACTTTGAGTGATTCTCAAATCTTATGGCACATAAAAACAACTTGAAGAACTTGCTGAACTGCAGATAACCAACTCCCAGCACTAAGAAATTCTGCTTCAGGAGATTCAGCATATAGCTCTAGAATCCTCACATAAAAAATCACCCCAGATAAAATTTTTTAATCCCCTCACCTTAGAATATATTTTTATTGACACATGTGGAGTGAGGATATTTTTCTATTGATTTTTAGAAAGAGTGGAAGCCGGGGGGAGAGAGAGAGAGAGAGAGACAGAAAGAGAGAGAGAGAGAGAGAGAGAGAGAGAGAGAGAGAGAGAGAGAGAGAGAGAGAAATCTATCACTACCCCCAGAACTGGGGATCAAACCAGCAACCCAGGTATGTGTCCTGAATAAAGCCCATAATCCTTTGTTATATGAGGTGATGCTTCAATCAACTGAGCCACCTGCCTGGACACCCCATATAATTTTGATAGGGGTTTCTCAGTGCAGAAAAGCTGGTCTGGCAGGAACATGGGACAAGGGCAAGGTGTTGGTGATGCAGATCTATCTAAAGGTCCCAATAAAACACTTTGAAGGGAAGAGCAAGAAGAGCCTCAGAAAGGGACCTCTATTGTTCACTGTTGCTCATTGTCTCCCATTACCACTTAATTAATTAATTGCAGAGATGGTCATAATTGCCAGACGAGGGGAATACTTGCTGGTGCATTTCCTCCAAGAGTTGGATGGGCTGTCCAGACAACTGCCTGTTCTTACACTCAAACACTGTTTTTTAAAAAAACATATACTATATATTTGTCTTGTCCATTAATGAAGCCTTTCTAGGTCCCAGAATCGTTTCTCTAGCTTGATCATATCTGTCAATCTATAAAAGCACATACACATATCCTATCTAATAAAAGAGAAACATGAAAATTGACTGTACCTCTGTTACACCCACAAGCCACACCCACTAGCCAATCAGGGGAAAGTATGCAAATGAATCCAACTAAGATGGCTGTGGCCTCTGCTCAAGGCTACCAAGTTTCAATTATATTATAGAAGATGAATAAATCCCAGATACCTGCTTCCAGCTGGCCCGGGTCTCTGCTCAAGTAAGCACTGAAAAAAAAAAAAAAAAAAAAAAAAAAGCAAAAAAGGAGAGGCTGAGAGCCTGGATCACGGGGGTGTGGCCAGCCTGAGAACAGCTCTCAGCCCCTCACCCAGACTGTCCAGGCACCCCAGTGGGGACCCCCACCCTGAAGGGGTGTGGCTAGCTTGAAAATAGACCTCAGCCCCTCACCCAGGTGAGGGTCCCCACTGGGGGCTTTGACCAGCCTAAAAATGGCCCTCAGCCCCTCACCCAGGCTGCCCCATGCCCCCAGGAAAACATCCACACTAATCCGGGACACCCTTCAGGCCCCACTCATGCAACAGGCCTCTATCTATACTAATAAAAGGGTAATATGCAAATTAGACTGAAAGACCTTCCAGGAGACCTTCTGGACATTTTTCTGGACAAAAAAGCCATGGTGTTGGGACCAGAGGTAGAGGCAGTGAGAGGCTAAGAGGGGAGGGCAGTTGTGGGTGATCAGGCTAGTTGGGGGCAGGGCCATTGGAGGTAAGCAGAGCAGCAGGGGGGCAGTTGGGGGTGAGCAGGCCAAGAACGGATAGTAGATGTGAGTGGTCAGGTTGGTGTGGGGGCAGGGCTAGTGGGGGCAAGCATACCAGCAGAGGGGCCAGTTGGGGGTGAGCAGAATGTTTGTGGGGGTCAGTTGGAGGTGATCAGGACAGCAGGGGGGCAGTTTGGAATGAGCAGGCCAGCAAGGGTACAGTTGGGGGCAAGCAGGCCAGCAGAGGGGGCATTGGGGGTGAGCAGGCCAGTAGGGGAGGCAGTTGGGGGTGAGCACACTGGCATGGGGGCAGTTGGGGGTGACCATGACAGAAAGGGGGGGGGGGGCAGGTAGATGAGTGCTTAGGAGCCAGTGGTCTAGGATTGTGAGAGTATGCAGACTGGGCTAAGGGGAACTCCCCCATGCACATATTTCATGCACCAAGCCTCTAGTTTTTTAAAAGAGCCATTTTAGGTTCAGCAAAACTGAACCTAAAGAGAAAGAGAAATTACATAGAATTTCCATATACTTCCTGCCCCCACACATGCATAGCTTCCCCTGTCAACATCCTGTGCCAGCCAGAGTGGTACATTTGTTACAATCAGTCAGTCCATAGTTTACATTAAGATGTACTCTTGCTATATTCTTTTATTTTTTTTCTTTATTGTTTAAAGTATTACATAGGTGCTTCTTTTCCCCTCACTAATCTCTTCCAGCCTGCTAGGTTTTGACAAATGTATAGTGACATGTATCCTTTATTATAATAATGTACAGAAACCTTCACTCCCCTAAAAATCTTCTGTGTTTCACCTATTATTCATCCTTCCCTCGCCTTAAACAATACTGATCATTTTCCTGTCTCCACACTTTTGCCTTTTCCAGAATGTCACATAGTTGGAAAATCATACTGTATATAGCCTTTTAAAATTCTTTTTGGCACTGAATAGTATTCCATTGTCTGGATGTGCGACCGTTTTCATATGGTCGGTTGTTTCCTCATGTTGACAATTAAGAATAAAGCTGCTATAATCATCTGTGCGCAGTTTTTTTTTTTTTTGTACAGACATCAGTGTCAACTCAAGCAAGTACCAAGGAAGATGATTGTTGGATCATATGAAGACAACATGCTTAGTTTTGTAAGAAACTGTCAAACCACCTTCCCAAGTGCTGCACCATGTTATTTCCCAACAGCAGTAAATGAGGGTTCCTGCTACTCCACAGCCTCACCAGCAATTGATGGTGTCAGCGTTCCAGATTCTGTCCATTCTGATATGTGTAGTGATTGCCTGTTGTCTTAATTTGCAATTTCCTAATGATATATGATGTTGACATCTTTCCATCTGTTTACTGGCCACCTGTGTATTCTCTTAGTGAGGTATCTGTTAAGTTTTTTTTACCTTCATTTTAATCTAATTGTTTTCATGTCCCTGAATTTTAAGATTTCTTTGTCTAATTTGGATAGCAATCTTTGATCAAATATATGTCTTTTGCAAATATTTTCTCCCAAATATTATGGCTTGTCTTCTCATTTTGTGAATGGTCATATCATTTATAGCACTTATTTG